GGAGCTGTCCTCATTGACCCCCTCTGGCTGGTTTCCACTGCCCACTGCTTTCTCAAGTGAGTCCTCCTTCCTGGGTGCCAGCAGAGGGGCCGGTAGGGTGGGGGATGGAGGGAGAGGAGTGAAGGGGTGACGGGTGTCCAATGCCAGTTCCTCTGGGCTTTGCTCTGGTGCGGTGTGTGGCCTCCAAACATGCCACATTCCTGCCTTTGACCCATGTCCCCTCCGCCTGAATGTGCTCCCCCCTCCCTGCGTCTCCGTCCTCAGTCCCTGTGCCTCCCCCAGCATGAACATACCCCAGGAGATGGGCAGGGTCTGTCTTGCTGCCATGCAGTGTGGGCAAGCTCTTGGCCTCCTCGGCCAGGGCTTCTCCTCAGTATCCGCAGACTCCTGGGCGTCAGACCACAGTCAGGGACCTGGGACTGCCCACATGGCCAGCAGCTAGCTGGTTTTTCTTACCACTTCTGCACAACTGCGTGCCCGGGAGAAGTCGTGGTTGCTGGCACCCGCCTGCCAGGCTGCCTGGGTGGGCGGTGGGCTCCCTGAGTTTGACATGGCTGCTCAGGAGGCTGGCTCCTCTGGCCTCCTGGGCCTGGCTCAGTGCCTGGCTTCTGAACAGACGGGGAGAGATCTCAGGGAAGTGGGGGCATCACAGCCCAGGTCAGGGAGCTAGAGCTCAGGCACTGACTGGCTTTAAGGGCCCAGAGCCCCATCAGAACCTGTGCCACACAAGCCCCTCTGTGGCAAGGGGGTGTCTCCATGTTGGCAGGAGAGAAAGCCAACGTGGGAGAGAGGGGAGGGCCCTGTGGACAGGGAGGGAGGTCAGGAGAGGTGCAGTGGCCCAGCCGGCATGGTGCTGGGGAGAAGGCTTTGGGCCGGGGGGGGTGGGGTGGGCGTGGGCTTCCAGGGGGCGGGCCACGTAGTTGCAGGGTGGGCCGTTTCATGCCTCGTGTTCAGGGGACAAGGCAAATGCACTCATTTGCTCATTTAAACAAATCTTTTGTGAACGCTTATGACCAAGTGGACCAGCGGCTGTGGGGCAGGAAGGTGTTTATAGGAAGAAGGGACAGGAAAGTTGTGGGGCCACAGCTGGGCCGTGGGGAGCTTTGGGAAGGGTCAGGCTAGAGCGAGGCTGGAGCCGGGGCTCCTCTGTGTAAAATGAAAGAGCTTGATGTGAGGCCCCACCAGGAAGCCTTGAGCACGAGGAGTCCCTGCTCCTTCAGTGTGGGGTGTATTGGGGGAGACACGAGCCTGAGACTGGGATGGAAGATCAATCGGCCTCAAGATGGTTGGGAAGAGGAGGCAGAAGCCACCTGGCCCCCTGCAGGCACAGGCTCTGGAGGGAGGGGAGGTTAGACGAGGGGAGGGAGAGAGCGCTGGCCCATGCTCAGAGGTGAGAGCGACCACGAGCTCTTCTCCGCCAGCAAATCCCACGCACCAGCGGACTACCGGGTTCTGTTGGGAAGCACGCGGCTGTACCAGCACACCCAGCATGCACAGGAGATGTCCCTGAGCCGGATTATCGTGCACCCAGACTTTGAGAAGCGTCACCCCTTCGGGAGCGACATAGTCATGCTGCAGCTGCACCTGCCTGTGAACCTCACCTCCTACATCGCCCCTGCCTGCCTCCCGAGCCCTGGCATGCAGCTGTCCCCCAGCTTGTCCTGCTGGATCACCGGCTGGGGGATGCTCAGCGAGGACAGTGAGGGGGTGCGGGAGAGGCGGGCGGGTGAGGGCTGCAGGGGAGAAGCGGGGCCTCAGTCTGAGGGGCCCCAGGCAAGCAGCCACGGGACTTTGGGCCTCTGGGCCTCATTTCTAGAGGACTGGACCATTTTAGTTCTAGTTCTGAAAAGTGTGTGATTCTAAAGCTTCAGAGTTCCTTAAGTCCAAGGACTGTCCAGCCTCCAGCATTCTCTCTCTCTCTCTCTCTCTCTTTCCCCCCCGTGCACATGCACACACACACACGCACACATGCAGACACACATGCACACACGCACACACACATGCACACACGCACGCACGCACACATGCACACATGCCTTCCCATCTGTGCTTAGAATAAGTCCAAACTCCTCGCTTTGGTGCTCAGGCCCGCGTGTCGTTGGCCCACACTCTCCCTGCATGCCCCCCCATGCCCCTCCCCACGCCCCGTCCCAGCCACCAGCCTCCTTCCTGCTTGAGTGCTCCAGACCATCCTGACCCCATGGCCTCGGCTGGCCTCTCTGCCCACCGGTGTTTGCTTGCGGGACTCACTCTGTCTTTACAACTACAGCTCGGCCCCTCCTGCTTGCTCACAGGACCTGAAACGGGCACCTCCTCCTGTTCTGTTTCTTCCACACCATTTATTAGGTCTATAACAGTCCCGTCCACTTACCTCACTCACGCTGTGTCCCTAACAACAATGCTCCCTGTGTCATGGGTATCCACAGGATGCCCAGCATGAGGACAGGTGGATGGAGGGGTGGGTGCTCGTGGCTGGATGGGGAGCCGTGGCTGGGAGATGAGTGGCTGGTGGCCAGGGTACGGATGCTGGAGGGATGGAGCTGTGTGTGGACAGGTGGGTGCATGGACAGGTGGGTGCGTGGACAGGTGGGTGGAAGGAGGGAGCATGGTGGGGCGAGAGGTAGGAGGATGGAGGGAAGGGAGGAGGGTCAATGACAGACAAGTGGACATGATGGCATGCGTTGCTCAGTGGTTGCTAAGGGCCCACGAATGGCGTGTGTTGCTGGGATTTGCCTTCTGTCTTTGAGGACTAGGACAGATAAGAGTGAGGTGCAGGGAATGGAAGAATCTATGGAAAGTCTGGGAACTAGGAGAGGAGCCTGTGAGGGACGGATGGAAGGCTGCCGCCATGTTCAAGGCTCATCTGTGCTGAGCAGGCCCCATGTTTCAGGGGCAGCGGGGGTGTGGCATGGCTGGGCTTCCCCACAGCGCACATCCCTGGTTCCCTTCTCGTCCACACAGAGCATCTGCATTCGCCCTTCCATCTGCAGGAGGGTAAGGTGAGCCTCATTGAGAACGAGTTCTGTAACGTCTTATACAGACAAAGACTTAGCAACAGCAAGACCTACTCTGTGCAAGAGGAGATGCTGTGTGCTGGGGACTTCTCGACGGGAAAGGCCATCTGCCAAGTGAGTGGGGCCGTTTCTCTGCTTCCCTGCCCGCTCTCCTCTGTGTCCCCGGGGGCCGTGTTGCTTCTCCTCTGCTTGTGGAGCCCCCCTGGGCCTGCGTGTCGTCCCGTCCGCAGCCCCTTCCTAAGCCACACGAGGGCACCTGCTGGGACTCCCACACGGCGTCCGTTTTGGCAGGCTTATTCCCGGGAGGGCAGTGTCGCGTCTCCGTGTTGGATTTGGGCGTTTGCTCTGCCCTGCCACTTGTCCTGAGCATGCGTCTGCTCTCACGGCTCTCCGGGCTTCGCCGTGTGCGTTCAGGCCTGCCATGGCCTCCACTCCTGAGGAGTATTCTCGGAGCTTCCTAGTCTTTCATTCCATTCACTTCCATTCACATTCTCCTCATATCCACAGCAACTCCGAGTAGAGCTGTCAGAGGGAAAGGTGTGCAGAGGCTCAGCTTTGGCAGGTGTTTGCAGACCTTGTACCGCCTCGGGCAGCAGGTGCATCTGTATCCTCGCCAACGGCGGGCACTCTCCATCTTTGCTCATGTGGGGGTGTGTGCGTCGTGCTATCTCACCGGGGTTTTATTTGTGTTTTCCTGATGACTAATTAAGTTACATAAATTCTCCTGTCTGTTGTCATCGTGTGTCTTCTGTGAAGTTTCCCTTCTAGTTTTTCCCTGTCTCACTTTTCTGTTGTGCTGTCTGTCTTTTTCTTTTAGGAGCTCTTTGCACTTTTATATATTCTGGATACACGTCCACTGCTGGGCATGTGGACCATGAGGGTCTCTTTCTGTTCTGTGCGAGGCCCCATCCTGCAGGTGGGCCAGGAGGCCCAGCGAGGAGACGTGGCCTGCCTAACGTAAGGCAGCTTGGCCAGACCCCCCTGGTGCTCTGACTCCGAGCCCACCCGGCCTCCAAGCACACTCCCAGGGCCCAGCCTCGAGAGCCGGTGTCTGGGCGCCCAGCTCCTGCACAGAAGGCTCCAGTAAGGGGAGGGGAGGGTGGGAGGGCTCGGGAGCCAGACAAACAGCTCGGCCACGTGTCCCTGCCTGCACGGGGACCTCGGACAGCACCTTCCGAGCCTGCGCAGGACTCTGAGGCCTCTTTCATGGGGTCGTCGAAAGGATGGTATAGTGGGCTAAATACTGTTCCCCAAATTCACGTCCACCGGGAACTTTAGAATGTGACCTTACTGGGAACTCTGTAGGGTCTTCGCAGCTGTGATTAGAGTCTCGAGGTGAGACCATTCTGCACTCAGAGGGGCCCTAAATGCAATGCCTGGTGTTGTTAAAAGAGAGAGGGAAAGGCGCCAAGACCCTTGACCTCAGACGCTGGCTCCAGAACTGGGAGAGGCGAGTTTCTGTTGTTTTTTAAGCCCCCCAATTTGTGGTCATGTGAGGTGGTGGCTCCAGGAAACAGACAGGTGTGAGACAGGCCTGCCAAGGGGAGGCCTCACTGACAGCCGCTCTCACTGCGGCCCAGGAGCTGCCGAGCCAGAGGAGAAGTCCTGCTTTTTGGGTTCCCAGGCCATAGCCGACGGTGGGGACTCTCGGCCCAGGCTCCTCACAGGGTCAGCTGCACCCAGAGGTGACGCACACTCGGCTGTCACCCTGGACCTCCCTTCTGACCCTGTCCCCAACCTGCCCTCTCCTGCGGAGGCCATGCCTGTGGAGCTTAGAGCTGGTGCCCTTTGTGGGCCTGGGGGCTGGACATCGTAGTGCCGTCGACCCCAGGCTGAGGACTCCACTGAGCTGGACACCTGGGAGCCCCCCCCCCTTAGCCTTCCCATCACCACAGCCTGTCCATGCAATTCCCTGGCCCCGTCTTCCAGGCCACCTGCTCTGGCCCCCACCCCGGGCTCTCTTCTCTTCCCTGAAGGTCCCCTCCTTGTGCAGGGCGCTGGAAGCAGCTCTGGGGGGTGGGTGCTGCAGGACAACTCAGCGCTCAGATTGTGGGGTGGACGGACCCACTCCGGTCTCAGTCTGTCATTGATCAGTGCTGGGAGCCCAGCCAGGTTTCCCCACCCATGAAGTGGGGGTGCTGACCGCCTCCCCTTCACAAGGTTCCTGTAGAGAGTTTAGTGCAGCGCCTGGTCTGTAGGAACAAGGAACACGTGCCGGCCTTCACTCTCCTGCCTGGTCTGCCTCCCCGATCTGAGCTCTGCGTGTCCTTCTGGGCCTGTCTTAGCCTCATCCTTGTCAACATGGCTGTCGAAGCCTGGGCCCCGCCTGACACACGCACACACGTGGCTTGTTCTGTCCCTACGCGGTGCAAACCAAGGTGCACTTGGCATGGGCTACGTTAGTGTTGGGGTTTCCTCTGCTTGCTGAGAGCTCTCACGGCCCGGGAGGCCGCTGGAGCCCATCCCGCCTCCTCCAGGCTGGCCCGGGTCCTGCGTAGTATCTGCTGCTCACCTGCGCGGATCGCTGAGGCATGGAGTGGGCAGAGGCCATGGCGCAAGACGGGGACCAGCCGTGGGGGACACACCACGGGGAGAGCCAAAGGCACTCCAGGTGGGGGCCCCTGTGGGGGGTGAGGGGTCACCACTCTCCAAGGAGCCCCTGTGTGAGTCTGGGGGCCGCAGTGATGAGCCACCTCAAACTGGGTGGCTAAAGCAACAGATAGTCATCATCTGACATTTCTGGGCATCCAGAGTCTAAAATGGAGGTGTGGATGCTGGCGGCTCCTTCGGGAGGCTCGAGGGAAGAATTTCCTTGCCTTCCTCAGCTCCTGGGGCCACCTGCACTCTTTGGCCTGTGGCCTCCTCTGTCCTCAGAGCATGTGGCTCCAGCCTCAGCTTCGGGGGCACAGCTCCTTCTGTGACTCTGACCTCCTGCCTGCCTCGTCTCGTGCTGACCCACCCAGATAACCTAGGGCAGTCTTCCTATTCCGAGACCCTCAACTCAAGCACCACTGCAGAGCCCCATGTAAGGTCCCAGGTCCCAGGGGTGAGGCTGTGTGTCTCTCAGGGTCACGTTTTGGCCTGCCACCCCTGTGCCCTTCTGTCTCTTTCAAGTGACCTCTTCCCCAGCCGTGGGTCTCAGCTGGAGATCTGACAACACCCAGACCGTCACGCTGGGAGCCCAGCAGCCTCCCCACCCACAGCAAACCGCCCCCCTGCCCCTCCGTGCACTGCCGGCCCCTCCTGGGGCCCTGGAGGCTCTCCCACGGCCCAGGCTCCCTCCTCCCCTGAAAGACTCCCCCCCAACAGTACTGAGTCTCCTAACCCACTCCACCCAGGTGTGTCCCCACCGTGCCTTGCCAGCCTTTCAGGACTCCACTAACTCCTAGCACCTGTCAGGGGACCCCTGCTTGCTCCCCCAGACCCCCAGCAATGTGGGCTGCCTCCACCAGGACCAGGCTTGGGCATTTTCTGGACATGCTCAACCAAGAAGCTGAGAGAAAACCAAAGTCCTAAATGGATGAAGAGGAGGGGGCCCCAGTGGGGATGCGCACTGCAGCTCCGGTGGTGGGGGGATGGTTGGCATGTGCAGAGGCTTCGGCCAACTGGCCTCCACTCACAGCCAGCCCTCCTGGGCCCTGTCCCTGCAACTGTCCCCTCTAGGCCTTGGGTGGTGCCTCGTCCCAGCCGCCAGCCCGTTCCTCGGTGCAGGGGCAGAAGGCAGAATCCTGAGGGGAGATCAGGAGCCCCGTGAAGTGCAGTTCTCAGGCCCACTCGTGTGAACTTGGCAGGTCCAGACTTTCCCAGACTCACAAGTCCCACCTGCCCCCTGCTGTTCTCAGGCTCTGCTCCATCAGCCACACTAACTCCCTTCTCTTTCCTAGGGCGATTCTGGGGGGCCCCTCATCTGTGACCTCCCCACAGCCTGGGTTCTGGTGGGGCTGGCCAGCTGGGGCTTGGACTGCCGGCACCCTATCTACCCCAGCGTCTTCACCAGGGTCGACTACTTCACTGACTGGATCAACAAGATCCAGAGGCTCACACCTCCCCCTGGTCCCACATCTGCTCCTCAGACCGGGTTTCCAGACCAGACTCTGCAAGCTGTCAGCTCATCTGGGCATGGCCCAGCCCTTGTACCTCCCCAGACCTGGCTCCTGCTTGCAGTTTGTGCTCAGGGACCCACGGCAGGCCCTGCGGTGACCCACTGAGCCCCTCTGTCCTGCTCTCTGCCTCAGGCCCCAGTCTGCTTGCTGGAACCTTCCACACCCTCCCTCAGCCCCACTGAGTCTCAGTGGTTCCTCCAGGACTTCCCTGTCCCTCAGCTGCCTCCTCCCGAGCCAAGCCTGAAAAAACAAACAGAAACAAATAAAAGACTCATCCTGCTTTTGTCTTGGGACCCCACTGCCCCTCCAGCTCCTCAGCATTCACCCCTCCCTTGAGGTCAGGCATCCGGCTCCTGGTGCAAGGAAAGGAGGCCTGTCAGGGAGACTGTCCGAGGGCAGGGGGGGAGGGGAGCCAGAGCTGCCAGCTGGGAAGAGAGCACTGGGGAACGTGGGGGCCTTCAGAGGAAGTGTGTCAGGCAGCTCGGGCTGCATAACAAACACCAGAGCCCAGGGGGCTTAAACAGTGGGAATTTATCACCTCCTAGCCCTGGAGGCGGGAAGTCCGAGGTCCCGCGTGGGCAGGCTGGTTTCCCCCGAGGCCTCTCTGCTGGCGGGCGGACACGTCTTCCTGTGTCCTCACACGGTTGTCCCTCTGTGCATGTCTGTGTGCTCATCTCCTTATAACGACACCAGTCCTGTGGGATTAGGGCCACCCTAGTGACCTCACTTAGCCCTAATCACCTCTGTAAAGACTTTATCTCCAAATACAGGCACATTCTGAGGTGCTGGGAGTTAGGACTCCAATAAAAGAATTTTGGAGAACACAATTCAGCGCATAAGTGGAAGTAAGACATTTCACCAGATGTCTACAGTGCCGGGGAGAAAAGTCTCCCCTAAAGTAGAGAAACATCAATCCAGGGGTTTGGAGGAGGGAGGACCGACTCCCAGTGGAGGTGGAGGAAAGCTCCAGACTGCAGGGTGATTGAGTTGGACTGGGGTGCATGACCAGGCCATGAGTAAGGGGGTTCTGGCCTGCAGTAGGAAGGGCTCTCAGACATGGAGGGAGAGTGAGTCAGGAGCAGAGGAGGTCGGATGCTGGGCTGAGAGCCGAGGTTCAGACCAGTGGTCCTCAGACCTCTGTTCCTACAGCAGACTCCCAGCACCTTCCTCACCTGCCCCCATGGCCCCACTCTCCCTAGTCAGAAGGGGCCCAACTCGATGTGAAACAGCTCCCTGCTTCCCAAGGCCACAAGCCAGCCTGCCTGAGGTGCCCACACACCTTCAGCAGCTGGATCCTGGTGTCACCTTTCCTGCTCAGCTGACCCAGGACCTAGTGGCCAGGTGACAAGACTCGAAGCAATGTTCTCAGGTGTCCTTCCTGCCTGTCTGCCTGACAAAGGCCCTGGTGCAGCCAGCACAGGCCCCTCCTCACAATGCACCCACCCCAGCCCTCTCACCCACAATAAGGTGAGAAAGCTCCCATTTAATGCACATCCTGTACAGACCAAGTGCCATTCAGAGGGTTTCATGCAAATTCTTTCCAATTCTGGCATTGTTTCAATATCCTGGATCCTTGCTGACAGATGGGCAAAAATGGACTCACGTGCCTGTTAACACTGGGATCTCACTGGTGCAGGCACTGCTTTCCAGGATGATCTTGGGAGGCCTCAGGAACCTGTCTTCCCAGGACCCACATTGTGTGGGCATTGCTGGCAGACCCTGCCTTAGCCGTCGCTCTGGCCGGAGCCCCACCAGTGAGGTACCCGATGCCTGGCTGTGTGCCTGCCACTGGCTCAGCTGTCCCTGGAAGGAGAAAGGTGAGCCTTCTTTCCCTTGGTGGGAAATTCATTTCTGGGGCCCCAGGCAGGGGTGCTGAGCCTCCTGGAAGTCCATGAGTACTGAGATGGTGTGTGGTTCTCACACTCTCACAAGCTCAGGGCAGCTCGGGCAGTTCAGCTGGACCATTAGCATCTCCACTGGTCCTAATCTTCTCTTCTGCCAACCGTGGCAGCTGCAGCTGGCTGTTGTCTGGACTTCCTTCCCTGCCCCTCCTGGGCGTTCTCAGACATCTACCAGAGGCATCCCACACCTACGTCACCCGCACAACAGAGCAACCAACTTTCCCCATCACCTGCAGCCAACTTGGTGTTCAGTATTATTATCCTGCTTCAGTTTCTTGTTAAAGATAAAACCAGGTCTGTCAGGGCTCTGTGGCGTTCTAGAGATGGCACAGGTAGGCAGTAGTAGAACAGGGACTCAACCCCACATCTCTCTCTCGGGGAGCTGGAGCTCCTTGCTATTCCAAACTCCACAGGCTGCACTCACATGCTGTTACCCTGCGCCCCCCTCCCCTCAGACACCTGGGAAAGGCTTCCTCAGATCTGTCCCAAGAGTGGGTTCCAGATACCCACTCCTGAGTAGGCAGTCTAGGGTAGGGTTGGAGGGAAGGGGCCGAGTGGAGGAGCCAGTGAGCCTGGGAACAGGGCCTGGAAGGGCACTGGAGTTGTCCGTGGGGAGAGGGATGTGGACGGTCTGCCCCTGGGGATTCCCTGGCCTCCTAGATGGGGCGCTAGCACCGGCTGCCAGCTCTCCTTGCCGAGTCAACCCCAGACAAGCTACAGAAATGAGAACAAGCTAACAAGAACCAATTAGAGGCTTTCTGCTTCCAGTCTGGAGTATAAAGAGCTTGGAAGTCATTACTCCCATCCTCAAAACATGAAAAATATTGAACAAACTAAAACTCAACAGCTCTTAGACCCAGCAGAGATTTGAGGTCATAGGGCAAGATGTGGCCCAGAAAAATCAGAGTCCAGCGGATGGGGGACCCCAGCTTGCCCAAGTGTAGTCAGCTGCCAGAGCCAACCCTGCTGTGGGAGAGCTCACACAGTAGCTGGTGGCCAGAGACCTGTGTGGACCCACCCAAGAGTCCAAGGCTCTGGGGTCCAGCCCGGGGGGCCCACACTTACACAAGTGTTTCCTCCAGGAGCCTCATTATGTTCTCAAGCGTAGGTCAGAGAAAACTGCTTCCCACTTCTGGTAGGGCAGATAGTTTCTCCAAACCTGTAGCTTCTCTTCATCCCTGACCAGGCCTTTCATCCAGGAAAAGTTTTAATTTTGATGAAGTCCAATTTTTTCTTTTTTCTTTTATAGCTGGTGCTTTTGCTGTTGGGTCTAAGAGCTCTTCAACAAGCCCTAGCACCCAAAAATGTTCTCCTAGGTTAGTTTATAAGAAGTTCAATGTTTTGGGTTATTTTTTAAATATTTTATTTATTTATTTATTTATTTGAGCTCCCCGCTGAGCTGGGAGCCCAATGCAGGACTCGATCCCAGAACTCTGGGATCATGCCCTGAGCCAAAGGCAGTCACTTAACCAACTGAGCCACCCAGGCATCCAAGGTTCAACGCTTTATATCTTACATTTAAATCTATTATCCATTTTAAGTTATTTTCAACATTTGCTAAAAACACTGTCCTCTTTCCATCATATTGCTTTTGCACTTTTCTAAAACACAAGTTTGCTGTTTCTGTGTGTGACTCTGTATTCTCTATCCTGTCCATGAGCCACATACCCATCCCTCCACCAACACCACACTGCCTTATATTATAGCTTTATGTCAAGCCTTAACATCCTCCAATTATATTCTGCTTTCTCAAAAACAGTTCTAGCTATTCTGGTTCCTTTACCTTTACCTTTCCTCTATGCATTTTGGGCTAAGTTTGTCTAGGTTGACAAAAGAATTCTGTAGGAAGTTGACATTTTACTATATTGTCTTTCAATCCACGAATGTGATATATCTCTTTATTTAGGTCTTGTTTAGTTCTTTTCATCAGGGTTTAATTGGTTTTATCATACAGATCCTCTCTTTAAAAAAATTTTTATAACCAAACAGTTCACTTTTTGGAATTGTTTGTACATGGCATTGTGTTTTTAATTTCCGTTTCCAGTTGTTCATTGTTAGTATTAGGATATACAATTCATGTTTCTTGATGTTGTATCCTGAAACTTTGATAGAGTGATCATCATTTGTTAGGCATTTTCTTATAGATTTCTTTGGATTTTCTATGTGAACAGTCAAGTCATCCATGAATATGGACTGTAATACTTCCTTCCTTCTAATCTCTTTGTTTTTATTTCTTTTTCTTGCCATACTGCACTGGCCAGTATCTACAGTACTAAGTTGAAAAGGAGAGATGGGAGAACATTCTGGTCTTGTTTTTCAATTTAAGAGAAAAATGTCCATTCTTTCACTATTATTTATGATACCATCGGTAGGTTTTTTTGTAGATATTACTTGCTGGGTTGAGGTAGTGCCCTTTTATTCCCAGTTTTATGAGTGTCTAACATGAATTTGTGTTGAGTTTTGTCAAATACTTTTTCTGCATTAACTGCTATGCCCATGTGGGTCCTTTTCTTTAGACTATTAATGTGGATTACATTGATGATTTTTGAATATTGAACCAGGCTTGCATTCCTAGAATAAACTTCATTTAATCATAGTGTATTGGGGTGCCTGGATGGCTCAGTCCGTTATGCATCTGCCTTCAGGTCAGGTCATGATCTCAGGGTCATGGGATTGAGCTCCACATTGGGCTCCCTGCTCAGCGGGAAGCCTGCCTCTCCCTCTGCCTGCAGCTGTCCCTGCTCGTGGTCTCTCTCAAATAAATAAAATCTTTTAAAAAAATCACAGTGTATTATTATTTCCTTCCTTCTTCATGTGTTGGCCTTATTTTGCTATTTTTTTCTAGTTTCCTTTGGTGGAAGCTTAGATTATTAATTTGAGAACTTCCTTCTTTTCTAATATAGGCATTTAGTGCCCTTTTTTTCCCTCTCAGCAATGTTTTATCTGGCTCCTACCACATTTTATATGCTGTATTTTCATTTTCATTTAGTTCTGTATATTTTTTTTAGAGATTTTATTTATTTATTT